CCATCGATCACATGGTTGTTTCGAAATCTTCTGGGGGAAAGGAGTTTCTTGTTCTAATAGTGTGTGACTCAGTCAGTGGGATAGTCAATGCATATCCAGCAACATCAAAAGGTTCAGATTTTGCGCACCCGTGTCTTCATCATTTTGTTGGCCTGAGATTCAAAAACCCAGACACAGTATGCCGAAGTGACGCACCTCCAGAACTGGTCAAGGCTATTCGTGATTTGGGATGGTTGCTGGATACAGCTTTGCCTCGAAGATGGCTTCATAGTTCAAAATGCGAGCTCATGATCCGAACTTTTGAGGAGTGTTGCAGATGTTTACATTTGCAAGCTGGGCTTGCTGTCTTTCCCAAGTTGTGGCCAATCACTTGCAGGTACGCGGCAGTTGCAGTTAGCATTGATACATGGGAGAAAGCTTTTGGGACGGAGTTCAAGGGTGCAAACCACGCACTTGGTCAATTGGTGTTTTATCGAGCCAAATTTCTGTACAAACCAAAGTTGGATCCGAATGCATCACCAGCTCTCATGGCTGGATGGGGGTTGGAATTTGGACTTAGGTTCAAAGGTGTTTTGACTCTCTTGGGCGATCAAGCCTTGCGTGAGGGAAAGATCGTGTGCGTTTAGGCTCCTGACCGGGAAGTTTACACACGAGACAAGGACAAGGTGACGTTTCCTTTCTCACATATTGCGGAGAAAGCATTGGAGAATTCTGCTGATCCTTCAACAGATGGCTTAGAACGACATGATCCTTTTCCCATTCCTTTCATTGCGGACACGCCTAAAGCCAGAAAGAAGACCAAATGAGTCTACATCACCTACGGCCGCATTCGGCGGCTAGGTCCTACACCAGGTTGCCGTGCCTGTTTGGCATACAGTGTATGGCCATACACGTCAAATCATACTCCTGAGCGCGTAGCAAGACATGAAGAAGCTCATGGCCATGATTCACCTGCTCCTACGCCTCGTGGAGAAGGTGAGTTGGAAGAGCTGTTAGGTGAAGCTCTTCCGCCTGGTTTGGGTTTTGAATATGAACCTTCCACTGCATCTCACGATCCGTTAGATGATGATCTTGTTCCTGAGTGTCCTCCTCCAGACGTGTTTCCTGAAGATGTTCCTGCTCAGGACGACGATCCCAATTCATGGGGTCACATCAGGTGTGGCAGTTACTGCAAGTATTGCTTGCGATGCGGCTACCGCGTTGCCTCAGGATCATGTTCAAGAATTGTTTCAGGAATCTTTTAGTCAGGGGGGTCAGTTCGGTTGCCTTGGCGCCACAGCGACTCCAGAGAAGAAGAGTCCGAAGCATAGTAAAGGTAAGCATAATCGTGTTGGCAAAGATGTTTTGTTTGAGTTCGCTTGTGCCAAAGATTCTAATCTTGGAAAGGTTGGACCCGAGCATGGTGTGAAAGTCGTTGGCTTGTGCAAGGAAGACATTGATTTGGAGAATACTCATAGCATTGAACAGCTGATTGCTCAGGCTGGTGCTTTACCAGGGTGTTCCATCCATTGTTCCGTCGAATACCATGGTCGCAATGGCAACATTTGAATCCAGCAAAATACCCAAAGTTGACAGCACGAATTCGTCAGGAAAGAGCAGAGAGCGAAGCATTAGCTGCACAATTCATTCGGGTTGCAGATGTTTGTCTTGACAATGGTCCATGGTGGTGATTGCAGCTTTGAGTGGCGAAGTTACTGCACTGGTTGGGCTTTACCTTCCATTCAGTCGTGGATTCTGGAAAGGAATTTGCACTCAGCGACCTTCAATGGGTGCGCAGTCGGAGTTGAAGCTGACGGTCAGCCAGCAAAGAAGCCTTGGAGGTTTGTCACATCTTCATGGCGTTTGGCCACGAATCTTGCTGCACATTAAAATGTACTCACAGTAGTCATGCACCACTTCGATGGCTGAAACTGGATGTCATGAAATCAGAACTCTTGCCTTTGTGCACAAATTGCTGGATCGCACTGAGTGGAAGCGCCATCCAGAGGCTCTCAAAGCCATTGAGAATGAGAAGCAAGGTTTACTTGCCAATGGGACGTGGGACGAGTCCAACATTCGTCCAAAGTCCGAGATCTTAGCTTCGGCAAAATCATCAGGTAACAAGATTCATATTGGTTCTCCTTTGGTTATTGTGAGCATCAAAGGTTTTGAAAAGCCGTCCAACGAATGGACTGTCAAAGCTCGAATTGTGTTTCGGGGGACGCTGTAAGGGATGAGGAGAATCAGGCGGCAGTGTTTGATGACAGTGCAGCCTCAGCTCCTACCAGTCTTGGGGGGCTTAACCTGATAGTGACTTATGGACTTCTGGATGGCAACGAAACCACCACCAGCGATTGCATCAAGGCCTATGCGCAATCTATTTTGAGTTCCCCCCAACCTACTTTTGTGCTTTTACCCATCGGGTTGGTTCCAGATCATGTTAAGCATTTCCATCAGCCTTGCGCTCCGCTCATCAAATCACTGTATGGCCATCCATTGGCCAGCGTGTCTTGGCGTGTCTTGGCAGAACCATCTCTCCAAAGCCCTTGCCCAAGAATTAGGGAGTTTGAATTTGAGCAGCTACCATCATGGTTTTATTTTCCAAGTCTGCGATTGGCATTGTCAGTTTATTTAGATGATTTGACATTGTCAGGTCCTCGTGCCAATCATTCCAAGTTTTCGGATGTCTTGCGAAGAGTCGTGCAGCTTGAAGATCCAGCACCACTTTCGAAAGTGTTGGGTAGAGGTCACATCAAGCATGATGGAGGTTTAGCTCTTCACCCCGCTGATTTTGCAAGGCAGTGTGTCAACCTTTTCGAAGACCTTTCAGGCAAACCTGTCAAACATGCTCGCACTCCTCATGTCGATGAAGGCAGTCTTTTGGCTACTGATCAGGCTGACAGAGGGCAGTTATCCAATGTTGCCGCCAAGATTGTGATGAAGTTCATGTGGCTTGGTCGTATCAGCACACCAGACTTGCTAGTTGCGATCAATGTTTGTGCAGGTCATATCATTAGATGGACCGTAAATGATGACAATAAGCGTATGCCCAGACTTGCTTGCTATGTAGCTGCGGCTTTGGACCAATGCCACATCATGCACATTCATGACAAGCCTTCTGACTTGAGATTGTCTTTCTAGGCAGATGCTGACTTTGGCAGTACACCCGACATGAAATCAACTTCAGGGTGCCTGCTTGCGCTTGAAGGCCCTCAATCCTTTGCTTTAATTTTGTGGTGTAGTAAAAGGCAGCGTGCTGTATCCTGTCAACAACAGAGGCCGAGTTTGTATCGTTGTCGACATGCCTTTCAAAGAGGCAGTTCTGTTGCTCGAAATTTTGGAGCAGCTCATCACTCCTGAGGTTGTGTTGAACTGTTGCGAGAACAATCAGGCTGTTCTCGCCATCATTGCCCGTGGGTTTTCTCCCCAGGAACGACGTTGCTTCTACCTGTGAGGCTTTAAACGAGCCTAACATTAATGCAGAATACATTGAAACGCTTAATTAAGCAGCGAGCCGATGTTCTCACAAACTCCCTTGGTGTGTCTGCGTGGGATTCTGCACTCAAGCTGCTTCAGATGATGTCACTCAAGACATGAAGCTTTCATCTCCTAAGTGAGTTTTGCATTCCGTATGCATTGCGGATCCGTTTTTCGACCGATGGCATCAAAAACCTGACGTTGTGTTACACTGCAGTGTGTAGCTGATGTGACTAAGTCCCATTGGCTTTCGTTCTGATAGATTTTCTTTGATTTTGCGTAGTCACTTCCTTGAATTTCCTTTGGACTGTCGCTGTCTTTCATCCAATTTGCCCGTGGATGTTCGGCTGCGGTAGCGCCTCTTCCGCGTGCATCGTTCCGTTTAATGCCGAGTTTGGCTGCTCTGCACCACCGCTCAAGCATCCGTCTAGTGCAGTTTAATTAATACATCCGCACAGTAGCGCATGAAATCGCCAGGCATGTCGCGATCACCGAATCGATTTCTGCCATCTCTTTGCCTGGAACCCATCTTGAGGAGCTGTGAGACTTGCATTTGATCGTAGGCGCCACGAGTAGAATGCATTTTTCAGACAACCTTTGTACAGTTCACCGTCAGGGGGGACTTGGAAAATATGGGCTAAATTTGCTAAACCATACCCATAAAGATTTCTGCCATTCTTGGAGATAGAACTGGAATGCCAACACTCTGTCCGTGTGTCAATTACCCCAAGACAACCCCCCAATTATCCCCAATTCACGGCTAATCTTCACACGCCTTGTACTTTGCCAAGCCTGCACTCGACGTGCTCGCTTTTTGATGTCAACGCATTTTCAGATTTGATAAACTCAATTTTTCAAACCCTAATTGGCTGATGTTCCATGATTATTTTTTTTCGGACAGTGCGCTGACGTTGCTTCTACGCTTGTGAAGACCAGTGAGAGCCATCGCATGTGGATGCATTTGGTTATTCATGTCAAACGATCACGAAATATGATGAAACTACGAGTGGCCTTTATCTACTTCAAGGTTTTTCTCAGTGAAAATGCCGCCGGGGATCTTTGCATATTTTTCCAATCTCGTGGAAACAAAATTGATCAAAATTGTATGAGAAAACGCAATCACATCAGGAGGGAGGATGAAGGGGAAATGCAAGAAAGAAAGGGCAATGCAATGGAATCTGCGGAAAAGCAAGGCAAGAAAACCACGGGCAAAGCGGAGAAAGCAGGAAAAAACTGAATACAGTATATAAAGTAAACCTTATGATACCATATGATACCCAAAAACGAGAAAAAGGAACGCTGCTTAGCAAGGTAAGGAACAGTTTTTGCATGTTTTTGCGTTTGCTGATTTATGCCTATTTTCTTCATGTGGCATCCCCTCCTGCACACACATACACACACACAAAATCCAATCGTATGCAGCAGTGAGTTTCACAATGTAGTTGCAATTGTAATGTAAGTCAATCCACTACAGTCGACAGTGTAATGTAATTAAGGGAGATGTAGTTGACAAAGTGATCACACTGTTGATTAAGACATGGCTGATGTTGGGAAACGTAAAAGATCCCGCGTTTTTCCTGACTCCAATTACAGCAGGACCCAGCCAAAATGCTGCCTTGGCCAATGAGCCCATAGGACACTTGCGTGGAAGGGCCTCAAGTGAGGGCGAAGGCCTGCATCTCTCCCATGTGGCATGCAGATGCATCGATGCATCGAGGAACTCTAAGCATACAACAGATAGAATATCAGAGAACTGTACCATTATGATAGGCTACGCATTCTCGTCCCATGATGCGAAGTTTATTGCTCATGATTCGCATGTTGTTTGTATTTTGAACAGGCCGCATTTCGGTTGTGTTGCCTTGCTTGAACGAAAGCGAGTTCACCATCCAGACAGTCCAAAGCTTTTGCAACAGGACGGTCCCAAAAGGGCCAGCTTCGATTGATGGGTTTTTGGGGACCGCCACTGCCACATCTGCCACCCAAAGAATCTCAGAGACACGAATGCTGCGAATGCTCACCCAGAACATGTCGGGCTCAGAGAAGCCGAATTGTTTGTAGAGGGAAGCAGTGCAATTTTATGTAATTTTGATAAGGTGAATCGAGGACTTGCCGTGAAGAACCTTCCAATTCTCAATTTTGTGTTGCTTGAAAATGCATCATGCTGATATTAACTGACCAATCATTAACAGGCATTTATCATCTACGGTCGCTTATGGATGTTTATGGCATTTGAATGCGTTTGACATGGACAGGACTCCAGCAGAGGCACTACAAGAGATCATTGTGGTGGACGATGGTTCTTGGCCGCCATTGTCCATAGAGCCTCTTGGCCTGGCGAAGGAAGTCCATGTGATGACAACTACTATGAGAGTAATGACAACCGTTGTCACATTTTACTCGTGATGACGCATCAGCATGCATCAGATTAGATAAGGCTAGATATATCTAGATATGATTCCCACATTTTACATTTTACATCATTGTACTACAATGTACTACATACTTCAGAATTTTGATGGTGCATGTCGACGTGTGGTAAACGAGGCTCAGCAAGCGAATTGAGCCCCGATGTCGCCTGCGTGTGCTCTGGCATGATGATGGGCCTCGTGGCTTGATGATAGCCAAGCAGACAGGCGGGGGTACAAGTACTGTACAAGTGCTGTACAAGTTCGGCATTGCAAGAAATGGATAGAAAATGGGTTAAAGAAACGTGTTGCAACAAAGTGCAAATTATTGCTTGCGCTTTACCATTTGGACAAGCACCCTGCTTCAGTGAGGCAGGTTGAACTGACTGAGGGATAAAGGAAGCCAGTGTGGATGGCAACTCAGAATGGCATTGAGAAATTTCTTGTAACCCCTTGCCCTAGGAAGGGAGAACTCAGAGCTTCAGTGGAATGAAGGTGTGAAATGTTCACAGCCAAGATGCTCAAAAAAAAGATGGGTACAGCAAGGCCTAGCTGGACATGGGCATATTGCGCACATTGGATCATCATAATTCACTTGCCAGAACTTTGGCCTCAATGTCAACCACACATATTAAGAATTTATTAAGTACTAATTATTCAATTCAGAGATGCGCATTTGAATTTGTCAGTACTCTTGAAATATCTTGAAATGATATTTGTTTGGAAGGCCACTTGTGCTATGTAATCTTTGGGCATGCACAGCACTCACCTAGGGACCTAGAGATCCACCGGCATTTTCTAACGTAAATTGCCATATGTAGGAGATCTTATTGATTCCTATAGCCTATTGCAAGCAGCACCACTTGAAGTATTTCGTCATTCCGCGTACTTTTCAATGGGTGCCGGAGCATGTTGCATGCAGAAGCGCTTGGATACATCTGTGGATTGGATCGGAGATGCATTTCCGGTGGTCAGTCCAGATGACAACAGTCCTTGCAGCTTCGCCCCAAGAGCTGCTGATGTTGTCGTTGGCTTGAAGGACCATGATATTTTTGATGATTTTGCAGAGGAGGTTTCCTTTCAGATTGCCAGTGACCGTCAACCTCAAGTGGAAGCTGCTTCCTGGCTGCCAGCCAATTATGAGATCAGACCGGCAGAGCCTGACGACATTCCTCCCATAGCGTTGGCAGTGCACCGAAAAACGCGAGTTCCGCGACAGCTGTGCAGCTTCAGGAAGCCGTTTGGCTCAGCAGCCCAAGAGCGGCTGCACTCCTGCGTTTTCTCTCTACAAAAGCTCTCTGAAAATGAGGCCATTGCAAAGGTTCTTGAAGTCTTTGAAGACTATGTGAACATTCATTTGGTCCAAGAGCTGTGCACCGGAGGCTCAATATATGAACGTATTCTAGAACGGCAATACTTCACCGAGCAGGAAACTGCCGTACTTGTGAAGCACATGTTGCAAGCCTTAGTGCCTCTACATGCCAATCATATGTACCATGGAAGTTTGAACCCTGAATGCTTTCGATTTTTGAACACGTCCCCTCATTCACCACTGAAGCTGGTGGACTTTGGACTGGAGCTGAAGGCTCATCGATGGGATGCAGTGGAGCACGTCAGTGGGCCTGATCTGCACAACCCATCTTTGCCACACTTCTTTGAGACCTGCAAACTCGTGTTTGTAGCACCTGAATTTGCTCCACCCCAACAACCTCGGAAAAAGAAAGAAGCCAGTAACTCACATCTTTCAAGCAGTGGAAGTGACTTCTCCGAAGGCACTAGCACATGGGTCCCAGAGCCTGACCAAGACAGGAGTTTGTTGGATGAAGAACTCTTAGCGAGTGTACTAACTGAACATGCAGAATGGGTCGAAGAACAAAGGTTTGCTTTGGCCAGCTCCAGTGGCTACTGGACAAAGAACCAAGCCGCAGATGTTTGGAGCATTGGAGCTATGGCGTTTCTGCTTCTTTGTGGCTATCCTCCGTTTTTCGCTCCTTCACGGAATGCAATCCTCGCACGGATACATCGTGGGGAGGTGGCCTTTGATCCCCCTTTTTGGTCCAAGATATCGGAGGACGCCAAGAGCTTCGTTTCAGGTTGCTTGCAGCATTCTTTCTGGGACCGCTTTAACATTCAAGATGCATTGAACCATCCATGGATCCTCCGCCTTGCTGACAACTCACCGTCCGGCTCTATGTTCGCTTCTTTCATGCTGAATTTGAGACGATTTTATCGTACTTCTCTGATAGAGATCTACACGGCCAGCATCCTTGTGAAGAAGTTTCGCCAAGAAGACTTACAAGAGTTTCTGTGTCGCTGCAGGGAGATTGACATGTCTGGAAATGGTTTTTTTACTGCGTCAGATTTGAAGCATGTTTTGACAGCGCTTGGTCATCCTGGCATTGCGGAAACTATATCCACCAGGTTCCTCCAAATGTTTCGACACCCTGGGGAGTCCTACATTGACTACATGGCACTGCTGGATTCCGTCCATTTGCAGCAGCAACGTAGCTTTGAAGACGAGTTGTGGCGTCATTTCCAGCGCGTGTTGCAGAGCAATGGCCGCTGCGGCGTTGATGGTGTTTGCAGCTGTCTTTCTCTGGATGATTTGGGCATTGTTTTTGGTGATCCCGTTATTGTTGGCTTGCTGATGCGAGAGATCCCAGACGGCCCCGGGCTGGAGGATGCAGCTGTTTGCCATCGGCTTTTGGAGGCAGTGCGGGCAGAATGTGCAGCCAGGGGCTCACAGCAATTGGACTTTCGATGTCTTTGCAGTTTAATTCTGAAGCAGTTGAAGGCTTTGTGAGGCAGGAATTATTGCTGAACTCGCTGCCTTTGGAAGCTCATTAGCAGTTGATTTTGTGATGTTGCACAGAAAGGCACGCCCAAAAAAATGGAAACCTACGGCCCATCCAATGCCCTATTTCAGTCTGATTCCTGCAAACCGTACATTTTTATCATTTTGTAGCTCCTTAATATCAGCTTCCAGGGGCAAACAATGTCGGACAAGAAGTCTAGACGAATCAATAGTTTGAACCAAGATGCTCAAAGTGAGCAGACTTGACAGCCACGGAATATGGAGAAAACCTGCAACAAAATGTCAAGCGGTGAAACTAAGCTGACTTTTGGAGTGTGATTCTGATTTATAGAATAAGTGATGGTCTTACCAGGCTGCCAGGCTGCTGGTTTTGGTCAGGCTATGCCGTTTCACTCAATGCAATGAACATAAAAGGTTGCGAATCTGCAGTTGCAGCTCCACACCATAGTGTTTCGTCTTCCAGTGGGCTGAAGATTGCAGCCGGAGTGCAAAAATCACAAGGCTGAACAACAATCACCTTGGATAGTTCTGGAAGCGTTTCCCAACATCCCCTGACAGAGAAGGCGGCGATGCCGCGACCGGAGAATTCATCGGTTTTTACGATGCTTGGCTGAACCACGGGCTCGGATGGGGTCAGGAGGTCATGTCAGCCTGCTTCCGGGCACAAACTCTTACGCATGATGTACAGTATATGACATTGTATCATCTATGCATCATATACATGTCACTTTAGTTTCAGTTATCAAACACATACGTGGATGTACTTCATCACTGGGGACTGGGGATTTTCTTTGCGTCAAGCGTGATTCCGGTCTTTGGTCATGGTCCAACCAAAAAAATATACGTACCAGATGTGATAGCATTCAATCAGTAGCGATGAGTAGCCATTTGTCATGAAGGAAGGACAGGAAAGGGTTCGTAGGATAGAAAACTTGTTCATTGCATCCCTGCCTTCCAGACAAGAAACAGGACTGCCATGTGGCACCGCGACTGGAATGGCACAAAGAGACTCTGCGACTTCTGAAGGCCAGCTCTGATTGTCCATGACATGCTTTCTGCATATTTCTGCATTCTTGAATCTGTATGAATCTGTAATGTTTGTACCATGAGTGCTCCTGAGATATGATTGTACGATATACAGCTATGATTGAGTGCTATGCATCATGGGACCCTGCGTGTGAAAGTTGGGTGATACCAGGAGAAGTCGAGAAGACTTGTGATTCCCATGATCGGTGCATTGAACATTGACACATGGGATGAAATCCCAAACGGGGGCTTTGTCGGCAAATGCTGGGTGAATTTCAATGCTGCCACTCGGCTTCATCGCGCTTTGTATCTCAACAGGTGTGTGCTAATGCATGAACTTCTCCATATGCAATGCCGCAGTCAAATGTGATGCACATGTGGGAAAAGTTGGGGTGAACTCTAATTATAGTTTAAAGACTTTAAAGATGCGGAAGGCGGTGGAAGGCAGGCTTTTGATGGCTTTTGGCTTCCCAGAGCCCCATGAAAAGCAATGATTCGGCAGGACTGGTGGTGGTATGATGATGAGTCTCCATATTCTCCCGTGATAAGTGGTGGACTGGTGGCCACCACTCGCAGTTGGTGGCAGGAATCTGGAGGTTTTGACCCTGGCATGCACGGCTGGGGCCCCTTGGCCATTTGATGCTATTTGTTTGGTGCTGTTTGTCCATGTTTGTTGAATCGAGAGACGCATCAGTTCAAGTTTTGTTCCAATTCTGCGGATGCCTTGGAGACTAACGTTCAGTTCATTAGCCCATGCCCATGTTACAGTAACACGTTCTAATGTTGAAATCCACCCCTCATGGGCACGGTCAGTTGGATGTTTGTCAAGGGCAACAGGCAATGCTGCAAGTACACTTGTCCCTGCTTCCTATTGTTCTTGACCTTCCCAGTCATGAGATAGTTCAGAAGTGCAACATTCCACCCTGCACATGGACTCTTAAGATATCTATATATATCTTAATATGCTACCTGAAAACAAACAAGGATGTCAAGGGATGCTAAGCTGGGCGATGCTGCAAGGTGGAGAGAATACAGAGCAGCCGATAAGAACTTGGTTGTGTGGAGGTGTCTTGACTTCTTGACCTGAACACAGCAACAACTTGGCAACAACGCTTCCTGTTCTGAACAGCCATGGGACAGAGTACCTCTGATGTAAGGACGAGGAAAATCAACCGTCACATACTGACATGACATGCTTCGCTTTTTTTGATGGTTTGTTGAACAAAGTTTGTTACGGTTTGTTCAAATCTTAGCAAAGCTGAGCAAGAGAAGAACTTCTCCTTGGCGCGCCAGTGGGTTCCTCTGGGTTTGTCGCGTTGGTAAGTTGAGATGAATGAGATGGGTCGTCCTTGTGATCGGAGGAAAAATATCACAAAGGATCCCAAAGGCATCTACTCAAGCATTAATTATGCATTTTTAGATATACACTATTGATCATTATTGTATACTGTACAGTAGCATTTGAAAACCACATGCTTGACACTTGACAGCCATCAAGCTTGACGCATGTTCATCATCTCAGTGCAATGCAGGATGAAAATGGATGATACATACTGACACCAATATCAGAATATCACTTATGATTGATATAGAATGGGCTAGCGCCCTGGTGCCGCCGACCCCCCCTATTTGGGGGGTGCTGTAGAGAGAGGGAGAGAGAGGGAGGGAGAGATAGAGAGAGGGCTTGGTGGAAGCTGCCGCGAGGGATTTGGAGGGTTTTAGGGGTTTTAAGGGTTTGAATAACGGTTTGAAGGCTGGCAAACGGCAGGCTTGAACGCCATAACAACAGAGGGCTATGCAGGCAAACGCAGGCAAACTGCAGGCTGGAACGCTGGAACAGCAAAGGCTTACAGGAGGGCTTGGTGGAAGCTGCCGCGAGGGATTCGGAGCATTTTAGAGGTTGTAAGGGTTTTAAGGGTTTGCAGGGTTTTTAAGCGTTTAAGGGCTGGCAAACGGCAGGCTTGGACGCCCATAAGAAGACATTGATGCGTGGCCTTGGAGTGCCTGTTGGCTGCAGGATGAAGCATGCCGAGGTTCCCTTGTGTTTAAGGCCTGGCAAACGGCAGGCTTCGACCCCCCATGACGGGTTGTAAGGGTTTTAAGGGTTTGGAGGGTTTTTAAGCGTTTAAGGGCTGGCAAACGGCAGGCTTGGACGCCTACAAGAAGACATTGATGTGTGGCCTTGTAGTGCCTGTTGGCTGCAAGATGAAGCATGACAAGGTTCCCTTGTGTTTAAGGCCTGGCAAACGGCAGGCTTGGACCCCGCATGACGGGTTGTAAGGGTTTTAAGGGTTTGGATGGTTTTTAAGCGTTTAAGGGCTGGCAAACGGCAGGCTTGGACGCCCATAAGAAGACATTGATGTGTGGCCTTGGAGTGCCTGTTGGCTGCAGGATGAAGCATGCCAAGGTTCCCTTGTGTCGCCTTGCGGTGCCTGTTGGCTGCAGGATGAAGCATGCCAAGGGAATGTTGAAGCGATGGCTTTTAAGGGCTGGCAAGTGGCCTTGGAAAGCTAAGAAGGAGAAGTTCCACACCTGCGGTGGTCCCAGGCGCCGCCCCTGCCTTGGCCAAGGCCGGGGTCGGCGGACATTTTTGATCACAGGTGATGTGGTTCGCGCGAGAAGCAGCGTGGTTGCGCACATGTGGCGTACGGAGAAGGACAAACGTCTCATGGCGATGTCAGATCAGTTGACTTCAGGGAGTAATTCAGAAAAGGATGGGAAATGGAACGAGTTTATTTGAATTGGATACATATGTAGAAGCATTGCAAAATATGCAGGGTATGCATGGATACGCAATGTATGCAGTGTATGAATTCATGCATTCATTCATTCGTTCATTCATTCATGCATTCATTCATTCATGCATGCATTCATTCATTCATTCATGCATTCATGCATTCATTCATGCATTCATTCATTCATTCAGACATACCTACATACCTACATACGTACATACGTACATACCTACATACCTACATACCTACATACCTACATACCCACATACCTACATAATCTACATACCTACATACCTACATACCTACATACCTACATACCTACATACCTACATACCTACATACCTACATACCTACATACCCACATACCTACATACCTACATACCCACATACCGACATACCCGCATACCCGCATACCTACATACCTACATACCTACATACCTACATACCTACATACCTACATACCTACATACATACATACATACGTACATACAGAAATCCGCCCGCACCGAAGGTGCTGGGGCGTGATCTTCCGGATGGCACTCGTAAAAGGTTATACAGGTTTACCTGGGGGGGGGTCCCATTTTTCGGTCAAAACCTCCTGTTTTTGATAGGTCGTGACGCTCGCCTTCAAAAAACACTGTAAAAAACAGTACGGAAGACACCTGTTCGTGAACGCGCCCGTCCAAAATCGGCAAGCGAAAAGTGAAAAAAACCCGTGTTTTTCAACTTTTTGACCTCAACTTTTTGGTTTGCAACATCTTTTTTTGCGGTTCCGCAGGTGGCCGGGCCCGGAGGCGGATTTTTGAGTTTTTGGACCCGTTTTCGGACTGATTTTCGTCGTTTTGTGATAGCAGAAACACTGGTTTTTACAGTGTTTTTCTGTTTTCTGCATGCTTGACGGCTAGCTTCAAAACTTCCAAAAACCTCGTAAATTACGCTGTTTTATGTTACGGTGTGAATGAAAACATCGTAAATACCAGTGTTTTTTGACGTTGGTTAAAAAAACACTGTAAATTACAGTGTTTTTGGCCACCTGACCCTCAAAAACCATGGTATTTGCAGTGGTTTCTGCTTCTCACCGCGCAAAAACACTGTAAATAACAGCAATTTCGCCGTTTTTTCATGTTTTTCGTTATTTTTTGAACTGCGTTGGTCCGCTATACATGGCTATCAAATTCTTCGCGTTTTTTTTTCCGACAATCAGTACTTTCGGATGTTTTTGGTCTCAATGGCCGACATCATTGGCAGTTACGAGCGGCTGCCCAACGATGCGGTGCGGGCGGTTGCCGCCGCGAAGCGACGTGAATACATACATGCATACATAGACGATAGATAGATAGATAGATAGATACATACATACATACATACCTTCATACATACCTACATAAACACCTTCACACATACCTACATACATGCCTACATACATGTCTACATACATACCTACATACATACCCACATACATACCTCATATACACATACGTTACACATATACACATTTACACATATATACACACACACATCACGTATTGGACAAGAGAAAGAAATGAAGGGAGGTACTCGTAGGTGCGATATTGAATGCCTTGTTAATCCTTTTTTTATCATGTGTTGTCGCCAGATGCTGATTGGCTTGCTGTGACAGCATGGTCGTTGGTCTTGAGAGGGTGAAGACTGGGAATTGTTGGAGATGAATGATGGGGAACTCGTGACACAGTGACTGACTAGTGAGTCAGCACGCATCACTTAATCATGGGATATTTAAAATGATGGTTAACTGTAACTGTACGAATTTGCATCAGCGTTTCGTTGAGGGGTATCCCGGTACACCCACAAAAATACAGCATGCCTACAAAAATGAATGCGCAATTTTTGCGCACCTGCAATGAAGCAAGGGGTTTTCCACTTGTTTAGGGCTGAAATGGGCTGAAGCTTCGGGTTTGGTATATATGTTTGGTTCTTCGCAAAGATTGCATGGGTCAAGGCTGCCCTGGAGGAAAGTAAAGGACGTCTCCCAAGGATTCCGGCTAAAAGATGTTCATAGTTGTGAGACTTTTGCAGGGACTGTATAGGCTGACAATCTAGATTCGATTGCTGCGATCGATATATAACAAGTATCGGGTGGAAGGGACGCAGGCAAGTGTTTGCTAGACATCACACATCACAGATCACAGGTCTTTGGTGGGTACTTTCTGCACAGAAGCTACGAATAGTGTTCAGTCTGGTCAGTTAGGAGGTTTGTGGCCAGAAGTTTGGCGGTTTTTGAATGTTTTTGAGGCACAATAGCTAGATACAAGATTCGCGAGAAGTATGACAACGTGGCACGCACAGCGGCTGCATGGTTCGATGACTTTCTGCCAAAATTTCGTGGCGGACGCCCATTGCAATTACTGCGGGTTGGGTCTTGGGAATCTCAGGACGAATGCAACCAGGCCGTGCAGGTCAGTCTCGATTCATGACAAATGTGTACAAATGTCGTCTAGTTTGATTGTGTTTGATCTAGTTTGTTAATGTTTGTTATATATATTATATTAAATGATATTAAAACACTTTATGCCACCTCAATGTCCTGCAGCCTCCATCAGCCTGCTGAAGCGGCCCCATGGCCCATTCTTCCCTAGTGTTACCCGTGATCTTTCAGTTTGGTGCTGCCAAGGAAACACACCCAATGTGGATGTGTCCAAGACTATCGAACTTAAAAAGCGGTTGGGCTGCAAGCCATTCGTTTACTTTTTGCATCGCTTTCGGAAGGCGCAGCTTCGGCCTGGGCAAACAATGGCAAACATACATATAAATCATATAAATACATATAACATCATATAGCTACAGGATACTTCAGGTTAGCCTATGGAGTTTCAACATGTTTCAAGCATGTTTCAACCATGCTTATCCATGTTTTACATTTTACGTGCAAGACACTTCAAGACCACAATGAGGAAGCTTCATGTGAGCCTTTCTCGAGAGTTTGGGTCTTGGGAAGATGGGGTCATGATCTTTTCGTGTTGTGTGGCGGAGATTGCCTTTGAAACCTTCAAGTACCTCAATACACTACATACCTGGAATACCTCTGTGCACATGAGACATGTTTGTCATAGTACCTGCTAGACATGGGCGTGTGTGGCCAAGAGCAGCCATTAGTCTGACATTAGATTCAGCATGATTCAGCCATCCATAGTCATAGAGTGACTCAAACATGGACATTGCAAGTGCTCCAGTTGCAGAGGTTCTGAATGGAAGCTGTTACACAGGTCAAAGAGATTCAAAGAGGGTTGTATTTTTTTGTGTATGGCTCTTGCCGACTCATGCCAGATCTACCTGCAGAGCGGCATGCTGCCGGAGAAGGTAGTGGACTGCTTTGTGTTCTCCAGAATATTTGCTGAACGGGTCGACTTGCTTTCCTACTATTCTGATGTCAAAGCTGGAGTGAGAGTGTCGCACTGATGCAGGTCTTCCGCATCCGTAGCACCAGCACGGGAAAATGCTTGCAGCGCTGGGATCATGGATATCGTTTGATCCATTGTTTGCCCCTCAATCTTGGTCAGCCAGGGTGGTGGTCAGGAGCTACTCAGTAGACACAAATGGAAAGAACTTGAAAGAACTTGATATCACTATGAAATATTATGAATATCATTGATCTTGATTGATTTTGATTGATTTTGGCTTATGTTCGCTCTTCTTTTGACCAAGGTGCGGCTGCTACATGGCTTCATCGAGGGAATATGATTCCAAAAGCGTCCCTGAACTGCATGATAATCAAGATGAATCAAGTGATTGTAACTTCAAGTGATTGCAAGTGCCTTGTTTGAGAAAAGTGAGTTGGTCGATACAAATTTTCCGCGCAAGGCACTTTACTCGAAACAAAGGTTGGCTTCTACCTTGATGTTTACCGGCCATAATGTTGCCAACTGGTGTTATATAAGTGTGAAAACCTCAAGTCTTCTTGAAAGTTCGTTGTTTCGTGGAATGTGCTTATGGAGTTGCTTGCCAATTTGCACATGAATTTTCGAGTCAACGTATTTGTACTCGTAGGACATTCAAAGACAATCTCGGGCATCCAGAAAGGTCATAATGAGACCAACCAGGATTGAACATTCCCCCAAATCAAGTCAAGAGGCCAGGAGCTGTAGATCTGACATTATTTGACTCACGTTTGAAAATCATTGAATATCTTTGAACATCGTTGAACCGCTCTACGAATGACAAGAGGGTAAGCAGCGGCAAACATAAGAAGGGGAGGATTTGGCCGCACACCTGGACAAGCAATGAAGCTGACAGACACGGAGGTTCTTTCATGTGCCAAGGCACAAGAGGGGCTTCAAGAATGTCTTTGTTTTGCTTTAGATCCTTTCAACGCCTTACTTGTAAAATCTTGTAAATTGAGGTTGAAAGACTCCGACCAGAAAAACCTGCGATTAAAGGATATGATATAAAGGAAATTGATCAGAAACATGCATCAATCTGGCACTGAATCGCATGGACTGCAACAACGCACATTGGATGCAAATACTGAATGCACTGTGGGCCTCATGTGGGTGCACATTCCCGAAATACAAATGATTACATTAGAATACACCCTGACGTCTCAAGGCGAGAGTATAGCAACATTCCTGACCTTTGAGAAGTTTGTGTCCGACATACTCCTGCGAAAGGGTGTGTTTTTGTACTATTAGACTTTATTAGACTCAAAAATTGGATGAAAAGGACGAAGGGTAGATTTTGTGTGTTCTACAGTGTGACTTGGTTGTGCTTTCCTTGGCATTGTCTCCAAGGTTCCCGCATCCTGCTGCGCTTTCCCGTTTGGTGGCGCCAAGGGAGCAGGAAGCCAAGGAGACCAATTGCGGTGGACATCATGTGCCCTCTAGCGGCAGCTGAAGTGGGGAGGGCTGCAGAGGAACCTGCCCGCGCCCGCGCTCTCCAAAATTGTGATTACTTATGTTATAACTTATGTTCTCTTTTTGGTGTTTTCTTTACCAGGAAACAATGAGGAAAAGAGCCTTCAATATTCTTCAATCACGCTACACCAAGTCTGGTATTAGTATCTATATAACTGTTGTAACATGTTTGGAACTTTCTCAATCTCAAGATATCTCAAGGACATGATTGGAGGATTGAATCTGATTCAGCTTGTGTGGCCTCTTAGGTCTGGCGGGTGTGATGCATGTCCGCAAGGTCATGGCGCAGAGTGGTGCAACGCAGCACGTCAGCAAGAACAAACATTTGCACAAATAGATGCAATACAAATAGAATATACATGAATATACAATAATATATAACATATAGAAAATAGAATAGAATCCAATGATTACAAGTCAAAGATGTTTTTTGTCAGACCCATTTTTTAAACTTTATCGCAACAGCTGAGGGTAGAGCTCTTCTGCTTTTGACAAAGCATGTGCTAATTGCAGTTTGAAACTAGGATGAATAGCCACCTCAAGTTGAGGCTCTGCCGTTCTGAAACGAAATGTTAGAGAGAGAGAGTGCTTGAGTATGCTGGGTCAACTTTGCATGTGCGCTGATTATTGAATGAGGCAGACTGCCAGTGGGTTTTTGCAGTGTGCCTCTCGCGCGCAGAGGCTTCTCAGGCCACTGGATTGAAGCCTTTTCGTTATTGTGCAGTAATTGAATAATGTCGACCACTTTGAAAAAGTTTAAGATGCTCTTGGCTTCAAGGTAGATGCTCAAGAGCCGGAGACATGCTGCTCGGGTGTGCGCGAGTGGAACTCTCTTGTGGTGCTGGCATGGTTGCAAAATCTAGCAAAGGAATGCCATCCCTTCGGAGTGCCTTTGAACTCTAGCTGAGCCCAGTCCAGGATTGCTGGGCAGAGCTGACCGGCCATGGTCCAGGGACGGCGTTGTGCGATATAACCGGCCGCAGCACGAGTCAGCAGTTGCTTATTTCATGTTGCTTCATTGTCAGAGTTGATGCAGAAGGGCCACTGCTGCATGCATATGATTTCATGTGCCTTTTGTAGAGTAGAAAGCTACCTTCAGTGCACTTTAAAAATTGTTGAAAAGTGCTTTGTGGAGGTTTATGTTTGATGACGATGGCCACATCTGGCACAGCTCCGGGGAATGCTTGGGCATCAATGGTGGGAAGCTGAAGAAGGGGCAGTGTGCCACAGCAGAGTTGCTCGTCCACATGAGAAGCCCGTGTGAAATCAAACACTGTCCAAGGTGACCAACATTTGGGACGGTCTCCACATGAAATCGCACTTGAGCAAAACTCTCCCTCTCACACTCAGAAGCAAACACGTTTACATGTGGCTCATTTGTAATTTGTGCCACTGCATGCCACTGCTTGGCCAATTCCCCCAGCCTTCCGAATTATATAGACTTGTCGATTCGCAGCACATGGCGACACAAGTTTGTATGAAATTGTTCTAATTGGTCGTGGAGTGCCACCAGTGCAGGAAATGGGAGATGGTCGATTCCTTCGAGCCATTTGAAACAAAAGCCTACAAGGAGGCTGTTGTCAAGTTGCTTGCCTACTTACCTTAGGTGCTTGTTTTACTATATGTTTTACTCCTGTCGCTTGGTGTGGTTTTTTGTCCAGGTCCTTCTTTATTCTAGAACCTGTCAGAATTTTGTTGTCACTACTTGCAACATTGGATATGGTCTGACTAAGGTATGGGCTTACTGCAGATATGCCAGACCATTGAGGGAGTCAAAGATTACTCCGACGACCCGTGGGGTTGGGTGGATCATGGATATATCGAAGATGGAGCTCTGATGTGCTTATTGATTGGTGTCATATCTTCAAAGCAACGAAAGAGCAAAGATCCACATGGAAGCAGCGCCGCAGAAGAAAAACAAATCACCGTCTAAGCTAAGTGTGACAAGTCATTAAGAGAAAATTGGTATATTATTTACAAAACTACGTAGGACAGCTGCGGCAGCATTCCTGCACATGGGGAATTTGGTGACCTGTGACCTCAATCTTCGTTTCTAACCTCAGAAGATCTGCCTTTTCCAAAAATTGAGGCTACCTGCCGAGTTTTGAAAATAGTTCCGGTTGTCCAAAAGTGACTTGCAGTGTTTGAAAATGAAAACCTATGGGTATTTCTCATCATTATCTTTACCCCACAGATAGTAACAATATGGTTATATGCGTGTATAAATTTAAAATGGCTGGAGGGCAGCCCTATAGCCCGTGGGCTTTCCGATTATCTTTTCGATTGCCGACTCATATTGATGCCTATCTATTAATTTATCGCAACCTGGAACCAGCCCTGAACTTTCCACCTGTTCCTCCAAATCACTTGGCAAATGTTCCAACCCTAAAATCATCCAAATTTTGAATTATTTACAAGGATGACCTGAAAAATATAAATAATATTTTATTATTATTACGACTAATATTACGGTAAGGGTGGCACCGCGCGCGTGCAAATCGGCTGGTCCGAAAATCTCAACAAGATGAAGCCCACGAACCCAAATGCTCACACGTATGTTAATGGTACAGATGTCAAAACACATGGTTATGCAGTCACGCACAATACCTTTCTGAAATAGTTTATTTGAACAGTCTTGTGCATGTTTCCCTTGTTACCAGTCTGCAGTGTGGAGTGGAAAGTGTAGAGTGTGGAGTGTGAAGTAAGGAGTGTGGAGTGTAAAGTGTGGAGTGGGGGGTGTAGAGTGTGTAAAGTGTAGAATGCGGAGTGTAAAGTGTAGAGTGTGGAGTATGGAGTGTAAAGTGTAGAGTGTAAAGTGTAGAGTGTGGAGTGTGGAGTGTAGAGTGTAGTGTGGAGTGAGGAGTGTAAAGTGCAAAGTGTGGAGTGAGGAGTGTAAAGTGTGGAGTGTGGAGTGTAAAGTGTGGAGTGTAAAGTGTGGAGTGTGGAGCGTAAAGTGTAGAGTGTGGAGTCTGGCGTGGAAAGTGTAGAGTGTGGTGTGTAGAGTGTGGAGTGCAAAGTGAGGAGTGTAAAGTGTGGAGTGTGGAGTGAGGAGTGTAAAGTATAAAGTGTGGAGTGTGGAGTGTACAGTAAAGTGTGGAGTGCGGAGTGTGGAGTGGAAAGTGTAGAGTGTGGAGTGTAAAGTGGGGAGTGTGGAGTGAGGAGTGTAAAGTGTAAAGTGTGGAGTGTGGAGTGTAAAGTGTAGAGTGTGGAGTGTGGAGTGTGGAGTGGAAAGTGTAGAGTGTGGTGTGTAGGTTGTGGAGTGTGGAGTGTAAAATGTAAAGTGTGGAGCGTAGAGTGTAAAGTGTGGAGTTTGGAGTGTAGCGTGTAAAGTGTAGAGTGTAAATAAAGTGTAGAGTGTGGAGTGTAGAGTGTAAAGTGACGAGTGCAAAGTGTGGAGTGAGGAGTGTAAAGTGTGGAGTGTGGAGTGTAAAGTGTGGAGTGTGGAGTGGAAAGTGTGAAGTGTGGAGTGTAAAGTAAGGAGTGTATAGTGTAAAGTGTGGAGTGGGGAGTGTAAAGTGTAGAGTGTGGAGTGTCAAGTGTAGAGTGAGGTGTGAGGAGTGAAAGGTGTAGAGTGCAGTGTAAAGTGTGGAGTGCGGAGTTTAAAGTCTCAGGTGAAGGATGAGGAGTGTAAAGTGTAAAGTGTGGAGTGTAAAGTGCAGAGTGTGGAGTCTAAAGTGTAAATTGTGGAGTGTGGAGTGTAAAGTGTAGAGTGTGGAGTGCGGAGCTTCCCCCATAGACACGGCGACGCCACAGGAAAACCAGAGACTCGAGACGAGACATGTGGGTGCAAAAAAACGAGCATTTCGTACGAGAAGTCCGGCAATTTTCACAGTTGGCAGCATGACAAAAGGACAGGTTTTGCAGCTTCCCCCATAGACACGGCGAAGCCACGGGATAACCAGAGACTCGAGACGAGACACGTACGAGCACCAAAACAAGCATTTCGTGCGAGACTTCCTCCAATTTTCACACTTCGTAGCTTCAAAATCGACGTTTTCCTACGAGTTTTCCTAGGAACCTCTAAATTTTGCAACCTCAAAATCGATGTTTCGTGCGAGGCTTCCATCAATTTTCATCACATCTCACAAAATGCCACGCCTGCCACGGAATTTGCACCTTGTCGCCATTTGACGCAGCCGTGCCAATGCGATTTGCAAAAAACACGCAACACGACACGTCTAAAGTGCTGCGCCTGCCACCCAAAATGACGATGGACGCGTCCAAAGTGCTGCGCCTGCCACGAAAACTGCAACGCATCTTCGGAAAACGTCGCAAAAGTATTGCGCCTGCCACACAAAACGACTTTCGACACGTTCCAAAGCACGTCTGAATATCACGAAGTGCCACGCCTGCCACGCGAAACGAAGCAACGAGATGTTTGAAACCTACAAAAACGACCACTTCTGCAGAACTTACCATAGGCACGGCCATATAGCAATCGCGCGGACGGTTGCGGACAGTTGCAGACGCTTGCTGCCTGTTGCGGACGGTTGCGGACGGCTGCGGACGGTTGCGACCGTGAACGCAACGTCGAGCGAACAAACCCTCAACCCCCAGACCCCCAGAGTGAAACGGGAACCCTTGCCACGCATTCGGGGAAAAAAAAAAAATTGACTTTTGGCCGAATACTTTTTTGCTCGACCTTTTTAGGACCTCCCCAATGGCACCGAAATCATCCGATTTTTTTGGAATTTGGAAAAACGCTATTTTCATTTTGCGGTCCCAGTCCTGGTCCGGTGTCGCAATCCCATGACGGGCTCTCGATTCTCCCCTGGTTCGATTCCCCCTATAGGTCCGTCCCAAAACAAATGGCACTAAATTTCTAGGATCGGCGTATCGCGGGGAGGGTCGGCGGCCGGGGTGGGGGGGAACATCCTCTCTTTTTTGCGGAAAGGCGAGAAGGCCTACGGCAATGCCACGGCCTGGGGGCTTTGGGCTTCTGGGCGCCGACCTCCCTTCCAAATCCTTTACTCTGATGATATTTTTATGTTTTTGGGCCGCGTATTAATTACAGAAAAAAAAACAGGATTTAGAAGATTTATTTTGGGCACAGGCAGATGCAGACGGTACCAGTGGTATAAAATAGAGCTGTTCCCTTGTAGAAAGCATTCAGGTGAAGGCGGCACCTTTAGCGTTTAGTATGCGTTTCACAGACATTGGGTTAAACATGCCAGACCTTGGATCATCAAAATGAAAAGACTTGAAATTAAAATGAAAGGACATGAATACAAGAAGCAAGATCATGAATGCAAGATGAAGGAAATAAATGCTAAACGAACAAAAGCAATGCGAATGAACGGAAAATAATGTAAAATAATGCAAGTATAGTAAGTGGTGAAAGGATTCCCTCAACTACATAAGGTCTAGAGTACCTAACCCTCCAGGCCTCAGGGGCCCAGGATCTAGAGTACTTCCTAGAGCACTGTAGACCCTCTGCATTTAAGGCACTATAGATCCTTGACTGTATCTATGTTGGACATAATATATGGATGTCCCATAATTTTTAATTTTGAAGATGTAAGGCAGATTTTGTTTTTTTAAAGGTCTGGACAACTTTTCTGGCAATCATTAGGACACGTTGGTTTTGCTGACCATTGTAGCTCTAGACCTTTGCCAAGCTAGATTCCCCAGTTCTTACAGAGGTCTGGACAACGTTTCTGGCACTGATTAAGACAGATTGGTTTTGCTGACCATTGTAGCCCTAGATTTTTGCCAAGCTAGATTCTAAAGTTTGTCCAAAGGTCTGGACAGCGTTTCTGGCCTTGATCAATACAGATGGGTTTTGCTGGCCATTATGTTTCTAGACCTTTGCCACGCTAGATTCCCCAGGTCGTACAAAGGTCTGGACAACCTTTCTGGTATTGATTAAAATTGTTTTTTTAAACTAATCATGTTAGGTCTAGTCCTTTGCACAACTAGATTTCCAATGTATTTTATTTGTAGATTTTTGTACCCATAGATTTTTAATGATTCCTAAAGGTTTGGATAGCCTCTCCGACACCCTTTTTCAGTGACTTAATCTAATTTGTAATGTTTTTAAAACATAATTTATTTTTAATATTTATTTGTATTAAAATAGTTTTTTTTTTAATAAATTTAATTTATTTATGAAAATTATATATTTATATTTTTTATTTTTTTTATTTTTTTTTGATA